ATAAAATTTGGTTGTGTATATATGAATTCAGTAATGATCTGGGTGTGTACAGAACGTTTTTATTGTCCTTCCAGATCAATCAGAAATTGTTCTATGGTGAGTCCTCCAAGGATAAGTCAAAATTTGTCTGTGTTTGGGATGAAAATGACTCAGATCAAGACCCAGATGACCTGGAATTGGTGGACAGTGGTGATGAATACTTGCCACCAGATGCAGAGGTGTCAACAGATGAGGAGGAAGCTATGCCACCATCCAAAAAGCAGAAATTGAACAAGAATATACTTGCTTACATGCAAGTATTGCAGCAAAAGAATAATCATGTCACATCCTCATTTTCCTGTGCCACATGCAAAGTAAATCTATGTATCAAGGATAGAAATTGTTTCATAAAGTTTCATTGCAGAAATTAATGATGTAAAATGATTGTTCTTTCTCGGGGAACTCAGGAATATTTCATTTGTAAGTTGTATCCCATTTCAATGTGTCATTGTTGATAAGTAGTTCCTATTTCTATTTTTTTAATGCTTACAAATTATTCAGAAACAAGTTCCATTTATGTTTTTTATATTATCTACTTGTATAATAATTTTTTTTTTTTTTAATAATTGCAACCTTGCAACATTTTAAATTGTTATACCCTTAACGGGCAGGACCGAGATTACTCGGTCTTCGCATATCTGCCATTGCTCGACACGTAACTTTTACAACTCCATTTAGATGGCCTCAGTGACCTTACATTGAGCGGCTCTATCCCCTCATAGGAAATCACTTTCAAATTCGCATTTTGGTCTGCCTTGCCTCCTTGCCTCCTGAAATTTTACTTCAAGCTTTCCCTCTGCCATGAGCCTCGTCTACCACCTCATGGCAGCCATGCACATTCCAGTTTCTTTGAATTTTTTTTATAAGATTGTAGAGAATTTTCATTAAATGGAAGATCAGTGACAAAATAACTGAGTAATTCGCGTATTTTTGTGTTTTTTTTTTTTTTAGTTTCGTGAGTTCAATGAACATTACATATATTTAGTAATCCCGGAAGAGGGAATTTTAAGTGTTGACCTTCATTTTTTCTCTTCCTCCTACTTTTCAGTTTCATTTCGCTAATAACTCGAGAATCTCTCATCCAATCGGATGGAAAATATTGAAACGCTCATGTTTATAGTGATTTCAAGTTTCCTGAGTTGAGTGAAGCCTTAAATATTGCACGGCAATATGCCAGAGCCGGCCATCTGTTAACTATCTAAGGTTTCCGTTCCTAAGTACAGGTGATCTCTGCTCAAATTTTCATATACCATTCTTGATATTTATTTCCATTCATACAGTACAAACATACATATATATAAATAGGTCCCATGGCTCGGTTGGTAGCGCTCTCGCCTTACACACTGAGTGCCCGTGGCTCAAACCCCAGCATGGGTAGAAATGTTGGGGGTGTTTCCTTACACCTGCTATCGCAGTTCACCTAACAGTAAGTAGTGGACTGTTGTGGATCACATCCTGGGAGACAAGATTTGAAGGACCCATTTGGAAATAAGACAGACAGTCCTCGATGACGTCTACTTGTACATCTTGTTACAACCTCCACCTGGGAGGTGAGGGTAGCCTCAACATTTTTGTGATCTTAGGGTACTAAGGATTATTTTGTGCTCTTTATCAACGATTTAGAATAAATTGTGATGCTGCACTGCCTTCCTTGGGTGTCCTAGGTGGCTAAATCTCCGGAGTTAAAAATCAGAACAAAAATCTTATCTTATCCACTAGTCACCTCTGTGTTCCACTGAAGAAACTTACTGTGTAATATTAATATAATAATATCTTTATTTCTACAAGTACATATTCAAGGTATACAGTCCTAGCTGACATCAATGACATCCTACTATATAGTAAGCCGCTTGTTATACCTGGAGAGTATACCCGGAGAGGGTTCCGGGGGTCAACGCCCCCGCGGCCCGGTTTGTGACCAGGCCTCATGGTGGATCAGGGCTTGATCAACCAGGCTGTTACTGTTGGCAGCATGCAACTCGACATATGAAGCATAGCCCAGCTGGTTAGGTACTGACTTTAGGTGCCTGTCCAGCGCCTTTTTGAAGACAGCCAGGGGTCTATTGGTAATCCCCCTTATGTATACTGGGAGACAGTTGAACAGACTAGGGCCCCCTCACACTTACTGTGTTGTCTCTTATCGTGCTGGTGGCACCCCTGTTTATCATTGGGAAGATGTTACATTGTCTGCCGAGTCTTTTGCTTTCATAGGGAGTGATTTTCGTGTGCAAGTTTGGTACTAATCCCTCTAGGATTTTCCAAGTGTATATAATCATGTATCTCTCCCGCCTGCGTTCTAGGGAGTACAGATTGAGGAACTTCAAGCGTTCCCAGTAATTGTACATTTTCTAGGTCAGCAATTTCACCTGCCTTGAAAGGTGCTGTTAGTGTGCAGCAATATTCCAGCCTAGATAGAACAAGCGACCTGAAGAGTGTCATTATGGGCTTGGCATTCCTAGTTTTGAAGGTTCTCATTATCCATCCTGTCATTTTTCTAGCAGGATCACCACCCATCTAGAAACCCATCAGTTACACAACCCAGGGCAACATGGGTTTAGAACAGGTCGCTCCTGTCTGTCTCAACTATTGGATCACTACGACAAGGTCCTAAATGCACTAGAAGACAAAAAGAATGCAGATGTAATATATACAGACTTTGCAAAAGCCTTCGACAAGTGTGGCCATGGCGTAATAGCGCACAAAATGCGTGCTAAAGGAATAACAGGAAAAGTCGGTCGATGGATCTATAATTTCCTCACTAACAGAACACAGAGTAGTCGTCAACAGAGTAAAGTCCGAGGCAGCTACGGTGAAAAGCTCTGTTCCACAAGGCACAGTACTCGCTCCCATCTTGTTCCTCATCCTTATATCAGACATAGACAAGGATGTCAGCCACAGCACCGTGTCTTCCTTTGCAGATGACACCCGAATCTGCATGACAGTGTCTTCCATTGCAGACACTGCAAGGCTCCAGGTGGACATCAACCAAATCTTTCAGTGGGCTGCAGAAAACAATATGAAGTTCAACGATGAGAAATTTCAATTACTCAGATATGGTAAACACGAGGAAATTAAATCTTCATCAGAGCACAAAACAAATTCTGGCCACAAAATAGAGCGAAACACCAACGTCAGAGACCTGGGAGTGATCATGTCTTAGGATCTCACCTTCAAGGACCATAACATTGTATCAATCGCATCTGCTAGAAAAATGACAGGATGGATAATGAGAACCTTCAAAACTAGGGAGGCCAAGCCCATGATGACACTCTTCAGGTCACTTGTTCTATCTAGGCTGGAATAAATACTGCACACTAACAGCACCTTTCAAGGCAGGTGAAATTGCTGACCTAGAAAATGTACAGAGAACCTTCACGGCGCACATAATGGAGATAAAACACCTCAATTACTGGGAGCGCTTGAGGTTCCTAAAACTGTATTCCCTGGAATGCAGGCGGGAGAGATACATGATTATATACACCTGGAAAATCCTAGAGGGACTAGTACCGAACTTGCACACGAAAATCACTCACTACGAAAGCAAAAGACTTGGCAGACGATGCAACATCCCCCCAATGAAAAGCAGGGGTGTCACTAGCACGTTAAGAGACCATTCAATAAGTGTCAGGGGCCCGAGACTGTTCAACTGCCTCCCGGCATACATAAGGGGGATTACCAACAGACCCCTGGCAGTCTTCAAGCTGGCACTGGACAAGCACCTAAAGTCGGTTCCTGACCAGCCGGGCTGTGGCTCGTACGTTGGTTTGCGTGCAGCCAGCAGCAACAGCCTGGTTGATCAAGCTCTGATCCACCAGGAGGCCTGGTCACAGACCGGGCCGTGGGGGCATTGACCCCCGGAACTCTCTCCAGGTAAACTCCAGGATGCAATTGATACAATGATGTGGTCTCTCAAGGTGAGATCCTCTAACATTATCACTCCCAAAATACAGAGCATTTCGGGCAAATTAGGTCATTTTTATCCCAGGATGCGAACCACACCAGTCGACTAACGCCCAGGTACCCAATTTACTGATGCGGAACATAGACAACCGGTGTAACGTAACACGCCCAATGTTTCTACCCTCGCTGGGAGTCGAACCCGGACACTCACCGTGTGAAGCGAGAGCTTTAGCCACCAGGCTAAAGCGAAATGTTTCGTTTCGGCAATGAAGATACCCGAGCGCTGCACATGAAGAACAAAAAGGCACAATACACAGATAACCCGCACATAGGAGAGAGGAACTTACGACGACGTTTCGCTCTAACTTGGACCATTTACAAAGCTCTTCTCTCCTACGTGCGGGTTATTTGTGTAGTGCTACTCATGTCTTGTTTGTCATCAGGTCGTTCTTACAGGCGATTTAGTGGCAAACTTAGATGAGGTGTTGGCCAGTCTCCTAACCCAGTTGGTGAACTATATAGTGGCAGCACCCTGAGGAATGTCCCTGTTGAAAATTAGTTTGACTTTCTTTACTTATCCAGAGTTATTAGTCCTCTGAGGAACCTCGTGACGTTGATAGGGAGTGAATCAAGTGGTGATAATAGCCTCTGAGGACCTTCATGACCTTGATAAAGAGTGAATCAAGTGGTGATAATAGCCTCTGAGGACCTTCATGACCTTGATGAAGAGTGAATCAAGTGTTGATAATAGCCTCTGAGGACCTTCATGACCTTGATGAAGGGTGAATCAAGTGGTGATGATAGCCTCTGAGGACCTTCATGACCTTGATGAAGAGTGAATCAAGTGGTGATGATAGCCTCTGAGGACCTTCGTGGCCTTGATAGGGAGTGAATCAAGTGGTGATGACAGCCTCTGAGGAACCTCGTGACGTTGATAGCTAGTAAAGTGATACTGACAGCCTCTGAGGACACCTATAATGTTTTCGTGAGTGAATCAGGTGGTGATGACAGCCTCTGAAGACCATCGTTATGTTGAACTGGAGTGAATCAAACAGTTGTGACAGTGGCCGGGGCGGCCTCGGACACTAAGCGACCTACAGTGTAAACAATACCTGAACAGCTGTTGACGCTGTGGCACTGTTATTGATTCGCAGTGATGGGAAATGCTGATACCAAGTTACATTTTAGGAAAGCAGTTGTGCAGCTCACAACAAAAACACAGGTGATCACTTCTCAATGTTGTCACTTTAATAAACACTTCATTAATCTTCATCTAGTATTGCAGACACTTAGCCAGCTGTGTTCAGCCTTTATCTTAAGCCATTCACCCATATTTTGCCATGTAATGCAGCTGTAAAGCTCTAAATTTGTAAAATGTACTTGAATAAACTTATTGAATTTACTTGGAAGGGTAAATAACCCATGACAACCCGGTGGAAATAAGTCATTTTTGTTTAACTTTTTTTGGGTTATCCTACGTAATTTACACGTTTCCGTTTATGATAATTTGTGTAACTGTAGTTATGTATATCTGTACCTAAATAAACTTACTTAACTGTCCAAAAAAGTCCAAGTGTCTAATTGACAAGTGCCTTAAACACAATGGTAGGTAACTCACTGTGGCCATTTATAACAGCAGTCATAATAATCTTTATTTCTACAAGTACATGTACAAGGTATACAGACCATAGCTGACAACAATGACTTACTACTATATACAAAGCCCCTTGTTATGCAGAGCATTTCGGGCAAATTAGGTCAGTTTTGTCTCCAGGATGCGACCCACACCAGTTGACTAACACCCAGGTACCTATTTTATTGATGGGTGAACATGTACAGAAGGTTTCTTTAGAAAACACGTCCTAATGTTTCCACCCTTTCTGGGGATCGAACTACAGACATCAGTGTGTATCCCACAGCAATCAACTGACTGTGGTTATTTACACTTCAGAATATTTTTTAGTGGTTCAGTCCCCGACATGGGTGGAAACTTTGGTCATGTTTCCTTACACCTGCTGTCACTGTTCATCTAACAGTAAGTAGGTACCTGGGTGTTGGTCACCTTACACCTGTCACTGTTCACCCAGCAGTAAGTAGGTGACTGGGTGTTAGTAACTTTACACCTGCTGTCACTGTTCACCTAGCAGTAAGTAGGTACCTGGGTGCTAGCTGATTGGTGTGGACTCAATGACACATTAACCTTTTTGAGTTATCTTGGGGGGCTAACCCTCTGGGGTTAAAAATCTAAACAAATCTTATCTTATTAAAGGAAACGTTTAGGCATAAGTGGTTTCTTAAGTTGTAGTGTGGAGACGAGTATTGGTGCAGCATACTTAATGGCAGGAACCAGGTGACATGAAGCAAGAGGGTGGAGAGGGTAGCAGACTAGTAGAACTGTGGATGATAAGTGAGTATCCTGTGACAACTGTCTTCATCATGGGTAACATGATGTTTGCTAAGAGTTTATATGTATAGGCTCAAACTGCATGACTTCCGTGGTGTTAGTGACAGCAGTTAAGGTTGCCTCCATACATCTTTGTGTGCATGTCTACTCTATTTCTTGCTCCTCCTGTCCTCTTCAATACTTTGGAGAAACTGGTCGATCTCTTTCTGACAGACTTAGGGAGCACAAAAATAGTGTTAGGCTTGCCGACACTAACAATGCTCTGTTCTGTCACATCAGAGATCACAGCCATCCTGTTGACTGGTCTTCCGCTAAAACTGTCTTCCCTGCTTCCAACTCTAACAGTCGCCGTCTAGTTGAATCCTCTCTAATACACAACTTTCCTTGTATGAATCTTAGTCCTGGCTTCGTCTCTGTAGATGCCTTCCTCTCCCACTGCATTGTAAAATGCTCCAAACTTCAGAACACCCGTGACTTAACCTGATTCCTCATTTTTTCTTCTCCTCCCTCTTCCCCTTTTCTCTTTCTTTTTTTTGTCTTTCTTTCTTCTGTCACTTGTTTCTGTTCCTTCATTATTTATTTATTTCATCACTTCCCCTTCCCCCCACCTCTGTGCACTTGCTCTCCCTCTGTGGGCACCTAGCTCCCTTGCAGTGCTCCCCTTTCTTTGTATTTGACTGGCTCCTCCTCTTTAATTCCCCACTACTACCACTACCACTACTACTACTACTACCACCACTACCTCTTCCTGCCTATATATAGCCGTCCTGCTCCACTTCTGGTTTGTGTGACTTTGTAAATGGTCCCATTCGGACCGAAACGTCGTTGTAAGCTCCTCTCTTCTATGTGCGGGTTATTTGTGCATCTTTGTCTACATGTAGTACATCATTTTTATTTACAAATGGCTTAACTTTGTTTTATTCCATCTCACAAGGCATCCTCAATGGTCTTTGTGTTGAACACAGGCATTGCAGGTGTACTTATCTTCATGGTGCATAACTTCCATAGATCTTGCTGTTTCACTTGTATATTTCTCCTCACATCCCCACATGGTATTTTGTATATTCCTGTATCATTATAAAGTCACTCTCATGCTTCAGCACTCTTAATGGATCTTGAAAAGTTAATGGCTCATTTAATAAGTTTATTGTCAAGTAGGTTGTTAGTTGCCACATTGCTGACCAGCTGAACGATGAAGCTGGAGGTATTTTTCTCAGTCAGATTCATGTCACTCTTCCTGAGCATGCATGTCACTCATTTCCTGCAGTCTCTTATGAAATATGCATGGAAAGAATAGCAAGCTGAATGCCTGTGTGAGTGTGCACTCTTCCTCAAAGAATTGCTGACAGGAAATTCTGATATGTTTGAGAAAGAACTATATATACAGTGGAACCTCGGTATACGATCAGCTCCCTACTCGAACAAAGCTCAGTGCTCGACCAAACAAACATGACCTGCCACAACTTTGCTGTAAACTATTTTGTGTTTCTTCGCATTTTTTGGTGTTTTTTGTATGGTATAAATAAGTCACCATGGGGCTACTACCATTAGTGATAACAGCTAACCAAACAGAAAATTGGTTGGGAACAACTTGTTTGATACTGAAATGGAGCGGCACTCTAACAGCCTTCTGGAATGAATTAAGGCCGCATTCCGAGGTTCCACTGTATAACTTCCTCTTCTGAGTCCTGTTGACATGGTTAAAGAAATGAAAAAAAATCGTCCTTGACAGTTGGTTTTCATTAAACCTTAAACAAGAGTCTACTATCTCCTTGAGCAGTAGCACATCAAGAAATGGTAGTTGATTGCCTGAAATGCCCAGGCATGATAGTGGATTTTTTGTACTTAACAAATCAGAATTGTAATTACACATTGTAATTGCAAAAAAATTAAATCTTTATCTTTTCCCTGAAGTGTCCAGACCACTGACAGCACATTATGAAATGAGATTAGGCCTAGTCATTCAATTGCTGTCACTAATCCCATACCAGAGAAGTTGGAATAAGAATCTTTCCTCCGTAAGCCATGCGTGTTGTAAAAGTCAACTAAAATGTCGGGAACAATGGGCTAGTAACCCCTTTTCCTGTAATAATTACTAAAAGAATAAGAAGATATATTTTCTTTCTTTTTGGGTCACCTTGCCTTGGTGGGAGACGGCTGACTTGTTAAAAAAAGGAAAAAAAATCAAACATGCATCTACATGCATCCTTGATTTGGCCCTGTTGCAATAAGTGCTAAAGGTGCATGGTGCATGCCAGATGTCTGTGGCCACAAGAAAACAGAAAAAGTGTGACATTAAAAACAAAATTAGAAGTTTTAAAGAGGTTTGACAATGGACAGTGAGGTGTGGTTTTGTTATATGTCATTTCACCGAAAGTTGCAGTTTTCAAAAACCTATTGATGACGTTAAGTGAGGACTTACTGTAAAAACATACATGTAATGTTTATTGTCCCTGTAGTCTTAAGTTAGGCTTAAGCTTACCTGAAATGCTCTGCATAACTATGGATTTTTTGCATGCATTCAAATGTCAGTCATTTTTGTATAAGCAATGTTTTTATTTTATTAACACACTGGCCAGTTCCCACCAAGGCAGGGAGGCCCGAAAAAGAAAAACTTTCACCATCATTCACTCCATCACTGTCTTGCCAGAAGGGTGCTTTACACCTCAGTTTTTAAACTGCAACATTAACACCCCTCCTTCAGAGTGCAGGCACCTGGCCTGCCGGTTTCCCTGAACCCCTTCATAAATGTTACTTTGCTCACACTCCAACAGCACATCAAGTATTAAAAACCATTTGTCTCCATTCGCTCCTATCAAACACGCTCACACATGCCCGCTGGAAGTCCAAGCCCCTGGCACACAAAACCTCCTTTACCCCCTCCCTTCAACCTTTCCTAGGCCGACCCCTACCCCGCCTTCCTTCCAATAGACTGATACACTCTTGAAGTCATTCTGTTTCGCTCCATTCTCTCTACATGTCCGAACCACCTCAACAACCCTTCCTCAGTCCTCTGGACAACTGTATCATGTGAAAATAAACTTGAATTTGCATTTGAATTTGAATTTAATTTTTATTGCTTGTTCTAGCTACTCTGTATTAGGACTGAAGGAACCACTCGTGGCAAAACTTTTCCATATTAAATGTCTTCATAAGGGTCTCTTTCCAGAACATCATTAATTAAAGTGATGTTTAAATGTTTTTCAGCCTATCGATGCATCTGATGACTCCTTTTGGGAACAGTTCTGGGGCGAACACATAACAACAGTACAGGATGTGTTTGCTCTTATACCTGCTGCTGAGATCCGCTCCCTAAGAGAAGAGGCACCGTCCAATCTTGCTACACTCTGCTATAAAGCTGTAGAGAAGCTAGTGCGTGCTGCAGACACAGGATGTTCTACCCATCAGGAACAGCAGATTGGTTAGTATCAGGTTATACCAAGTTCTCAGTAGTTTGTTTGTGATCATTCATTTTCATACTTCTACTGTTAACACCACTACCATTATCACTACTACTTCCATTATACAGGAAGGCCCCCACATAATCAGCACCCTCTTTTCAGTGTTTCACATTATCATTGGTTTTCATTGGAGCTATTTTTCCTTATGTTTGGTGCTTTCTCTGCTTTCTGCCATTTTTGCACAATAGTTTTGTAAGGGAAGGGCGACCGGCATCGTATTTTAAGGTATGTATTGTATATTATGTGTATTTATTTTACTTTCGTATCTGTTTTTATACCTAGCTATATTGAGCACTTAATATATGATAATGTAAACATGTTAATTAGACATTTTAGATGAATTAGATATTGAAATAAAATGCTCTTTTCCACTTGATGACAATTTTCACATATCACAGAGCCCTCCAATACTACTGCCTCCTCTCATTCTCCGTCCTTCTTCCCCACCTCTCATATATATACTGGCTCCCTTCCCTTCACATTTGTGTGTGACTAGTTAATGGTCATTGTTGGACCATAACATCGTCATAAGTTTTATTCTCCTGTGTGCAGTCATTTGTGTATTTTCACTCTTTATTTGATGTCTATCAGGGGGACATCTCTTGCTTCTGCAATATTAATTTCTTCTTCTTTGATTTTTCATTCCATTCATTTTTGTTGATTGCTTGAGTGCTGTGTCTGATTGACTTTAAACTTATACATATTTATCCACTATTATAGTGCAGTACAGGTCAGACATCACTGATTCGGCATCTTTGGGGCCTGTAGTGTGCCAGATTAGTGAGTTTGCTGGATTACAGAGTGGTTAGATTAGAATAGTACACTTAATTAACCTATCAATAGAGAGACTGCTACATCTTCCTCATTTTCATCACTGCTTTCTCCTCCATTAACTTGCTGCTGTGGATTTACAACCATCTGCACAATTTCTGAGTCAGTATAATGATGAAATTTGAGTCAGTATGATGATGAAATTTGAAATTATACTAGCCAAAATTAATGCCGGATTACTGATGGAACTGATTGCTGGATTAGGATGGCCAACTTGTATAACCTTTTTGCTTTTGGACATTGCAATTCCATTCCTCATATTCCCTGATTGACTACTTTTGGAACTAATGTTTCCCATTATTGGACGTCTGCATACTTTTGCTTGATATTACAACCTATAATTTTTTGCTGTCAATGCAGGTTTTTGGAATCATAATTTATTTTTACCATATTTTGCATATTTCAAAGATGTTTACTATGAATGGAGTGAATGGAGACGAATGGTATTTGGGACCTGACGATCTATTGGAGTGTGAGCAGGGTAATATTTAGTGAAGGGATTCAGGGAAACTGGGCATTTTTATATAGCCGGACTTGAGTCCTGGAAATGGGAAGTACAATGCCTGCACTCTGAAGAAGGGGTTTTGGGATATTAGCAGTTTGGAGGGATATGTTGTGTATCTTTATACGTATATGCTTCTAAACTGTTATGTTCTGAGCACCTCTGCAAAAACAGTGATTATGTGTGAGTGAGGTGAAAGTGTTGAATGATGATGAAAGTATTTTCTTTTTGGGGATTTTCTTTCTTTTTTGGGTCACCCTGCCTCGGTGGGAGACGGCCGACTTGTTGAAAAAAAAAAAAAAGTTTACTATGTTAAAAATTGTTCTATACTTGACCTGCACATGCACTGCATTCATGTTGTGTTCTGTGTAAGTTGGAATATACTGGTTGCTTAAGTGCCTGGAATACTTACAGTGTTTGTTATGGGCTCTGTCTGTACATTGGAATTTATTGAATATAGTATAAAATTAGTTAAATTACCAAATTCTGATGGTTAAATGGGCAGTTTTTTGTAATCTTAGATGATGTGGAAGGCATACTAGCCGGGAATTGAGTAGCAAGAGTTTTCTTTACTCTTCCTTATTTTTTTTTGTTTCTCTTGCCTGTTGATGTAGAAGTGCCATACAGTGCTATGTGATCCTTAGGATTTAGTGCTTCTCACGAGCATTATAATATGTGGTCAGGTAATGGAGTACTCTTTTTCCCACAGTGTTAAACTGCATGCGAATATTGATGAGAGTAATCCCATATATCTTTGAGGATGCGGACTGGCGTGGGTTCTTCTGGTCCAGTTTACCAGCGGGAGGTGAAGATGAAGGTACAGGAGAGAGTATTCCACTAGCAAACAGCCTCATTCATGCATTATGCGTAAGTTCCAACATCCTTTTTTTTATTATGTGTACCAGGGTTTAGACTGCTTTGTAAAGACTTAAGCAGCTAGGACAGCATTAATAACCTTTTTACATATCTGTTACTGTTTACCAAAGTAGGGTGACCCATAGTAGCAAACTCATTCACCATTGCTCATTCAGTAGGTGTCTTGCCTGAAGTGGGTTGACATCACACTTCTTATTACATACATCCCTTGCTTTATGAGGATTTTTTATGTGCAGCTTTGCTTACATGTATACAGTGACCTTATTTTTACCAAAAATTCACTCTTATGTGATCGGAGTCAGTGATCACAGCATTTTCCTAGTTTGCAATCACTCAAGCACACCAGCAATTGATTTTTAACCAGTAATGCAGTAAATGTTACTTTAAACTGGTTTATATTGACATTCATAAAATGACTTTCAAATAAAGAAAAAAAAATTTGGTACAGTAAATGCAGTGAGCTAATGTAGCATGTTGAGGTTAGTGGTGAGTGTGTGGTAGTGGTGATGTGTGATGTCCCTCGCTTCACCCACTGAACGTGTTCAGGACATGTGAGCCCCTGTCCTCCCTGCCCTTACTAACCAACCCTTCCTAACCTGCCCTTACTAACCCACCCTTACTAACCCACCCTTACTAACCTATAGTTACTAACCCACCCTTACTAACCTGCCCCTACTAACCTGTAGTTACTAACCTGCCCCTACTAACCTGTAGTTACTAACCCACCCCTACTAACCTGTAGTTACTAACCCGCCCCTACTAATCTGTAGTTACTAACCCGCCCTTACTAACCTGCCTCTACTAACCTGTAGTTACTAACCTGCCCCTACTAACCTGTAGTTACTAACCCACCCCTACTAACCTGTAGTTACTAACCTGCCCCTACTAATCTGTAGTTACTAACTCGCTCTTACTAACCCACCCTTACTAACACTGAGGGAGGCTCTCGTACCCCTCTTCCAGGGCTAGGGCCACCCTTCTGTCTCCCAGTCAACCCACCCTGCTGTCTTCTACCCTGTTAGGGTTGGCGCCTCCTGCCTGGCTCACACCCACCCACCACCATGCCTCACCAACAGCCCTCCTCTTCCTAGCCAGCCAATAGCTCTCATTTTAACACCTAAATAATAAGCCTACCATTCAAGACCAAGCTCTTCCATAAAATGTGAGATCTTTATGTATGCAGAAAATGAACATTAATTAATGAAGTATGAGTATATTTGGTAAAAACTAATAGAAAAAATATTTGGAATTTACAAAGTCTGATAATGAATTGATATCTGTTACATGTCATAAAGTTTTTGCTATGTGATTTTGCTTTATGCACCATCAGCCAGGAGTGCATCTATTGCATAAAGTGAATGATGCCTGTTCTCTGAATTGCAGCATCCTCACTCATCCTTCAGACTGTTACTTGTTCATGAGATATAAGGAAGAAACCAACAATCCTACCACAGAGCAAAATATTTAAAAGATTTCTGTTTCACACTTGTTATGACAGGAGGGTAGTGCATATGCATGGTTGATGTCTACCAAGCTACATATTATACCAATTTTAATAATTAAACCTACTGTGTAATGCTGTAATGCATATGTAATACTTGCTAAATAATGGTCATGGAAATGCATGTCTTGACTTTCTGGGGAAATATTTTGTGCCAAGGGACTTGAATGTGCAACAGGCATGAATGAGAGGAGGCGGGTGGTTTTTCAGATGACATGCTGTTGGAGTGTGAACAAGGTAACATTTATGAAGGGATTCAAGGAAACTGGTTAGCAGGACGTGAGTCCTGGAGGTGGAAAGTAGTTCCTGCACTCTGAAGGAGGGGTGGAGATATTTGCAGTTGGAGGGGCATCTGAACTGTAGTATTGGCACGCCTCTGGCAGGACAGTGATGGAGTGAGTGATGATGAAAGTGTTTCCTCTTAATCAGAATATGAGGAGAAAGCATGCAGTTATGGAAGTGTAAGTCACTCATTTTTTTACAAGCACTGTAAGGATGTATGCAGGTGATTTGCAGGCATAAATGACCCTCATGTAGTCAGTAGACTTTAAATGTAATAAATTAAGTAACTATTGTCAACAAGTTATGCATAACTTGCAGACAAGTGTCAACACTTGCCTAATTCATGCATTTTGGAAGCACAGTAACCCAATTTCATATATTGGTGGATTAATGTTACAACTTAGCATATCAGCTGTGAAACTGGTGATGAGATTACTACACATCTTTGAGTCTCTTGCATTCCTCAAGGCATAAAGAAAAAAAGTGTACAGTGTGTACATGTATGTTGTGATTGGTAATAAGGTGTAAATTTTGAATCTGGAAACCTACATTTATAAGAAAACTTAACCATCATATGCAGTTTTGCATGTGAATTTTTTCTTAGTTTCTTTATATTTAAAAGCTCTTTTCCAATATACATTACTAGTAATATATTTCTTTATTTTTCACATGTTTAACCCTTTGACTGTTTTGGTCATATATATATACATCTTATGAGCCAGTGTGTTTGACGTATATATACTCAAAAATTCTAGCCGCTTCAAATCAAGCAGGAGAAAGCTGGTACTCCCACATGTGAGAGAATGGGTCTGTGTGGTCAGTGTGTGCAGTATAAAAAAAATCCTGCAGCACGCACTGCATAATGAGGAAAAAAAAACTCCGACTGTGTTCTTGGATTAAAATGCCGAATTTGAAGTGTATTTTTGTATAATATTTATTTTTGTGTTCTCATTTTCTTGGTCTCATTTGATAGAATGGAAGACATATTATAGAAGTAGAGATAATTTTGATTGGTTTCACTAGGAAAAGGACCTTGAAATGGAGCTCAAAGTAGCGTAAATGTTCGATTTTTGCCGATGTTCAAGGGTAAACAAATGACATCATTGTCCAGTAAATGCCCAACTAGCCATTCTAAATACGCAGTCATGAATGGGTTGACATTATTTATACAATTATTACAATAATGCAGTAGTCTGCATAACAGTAAATCTTCTTTTGTTTGCGTGAATAAAAATTGAAAATAGAAAGCAAGAGTAATATAAGAGGGGCCTGGAGACATTACTGATGAACAGAGATGATGTTATTTTAGTGCCAGGAATGTCTACATTGTTCATTCTGGACCCTATTTTGAAACTGGCATATTTTTTAATTTGTGTGAAATTAGCCAAATTGCCAATTTCTGATCACTTTATTGGGTAGTTGAAATCAGTAAATGGGAGGTTTCCTGTACTCAGTCGATAGAACAAATGGAGTTCTAAAGAAATAGCTTTGAGTTTGATTAACTGGAAAAATGGAATTGGCCAAAAATAGGGCTCAGAGTGGGCAAAATCGCAGATGCTTAAATATCGCCAAGATTGTTAACTATGCGAGAATGTAATTCTGTAAATTTTTCATCAAATTTCATACTTTTGGTGTCATTAGCATGGGGAAAAGATTCTCTATCATTTTGTAAGTTTTTTTTTTTTTTGTCAAATATTTTGCGCCACTGAGAGACACTTTAGGATTGGGGATTGCGACAGTCAAAGGGTTAATAGAAATACAAATACAATACTGTAGACTAAAAGTCATATCCATTACCATAACTGGAGCAATTCACAATTAGCCCACAGTTTGAAGAAGCTTCAGACAGTTTTTCAGTCCTTTCTGGACTATTACGAAGTTGCTGCTGACTTTATTATAGTTCAGAACATATTGAAACATCGTCTGAAGTTACTAATGTAAAGTGTTAGTTGTGACTGAACGCTGCGCTTGAAAAATAAAAAAGTCGGTAATCATTTACTATTCACAGGATCTGCTGTTCTGTCCGGACTTCACTGTAACAACAAACAAGAAATCTGGACCAGTAAGTGATGTTACAGTACTGTAACACCTTCATGATAGACAGAATATAAATGATGGTACAGTGCTGGAGCACCTTTGTGATAGCCAGTATACAAGTGGTTCAGCTACACACCAGTACACTTACTCTCAACACCGTGATACAAGTGGTTCAGCTACATATCAGTACACTTACTCTCATCCCCATAATACAAGTGGTTCAGCTACACACCAGTACACTTAATAATTTGTTTGGTTAGATAACATTCAAGTGGAACAGATCTTATGAGATACACAGAGTAGCTATATCATTTCTGGCAAGCTTAAGCTTAGACTAAAGCTTTTTAATTCTATAGAATAGAGGATTGTTGAGGTGTTCAAGCTTGTAAGCGTAGTATTAGGTAATGTTAGTTAAAATATATGATTATGGAGGTGTGTAAGCTTGCAAGCTTAGTACTAGGTAATGCCAGGTAAGACAGAGACAGATGTATTACATCTGGTCACAGCTCACAAGTTAAAAACAAAATAGTTTTTTTTTTTTTTTCAACATTTTTTTTTTTATCTTTGAAAATTTTGCACACGTGACACCTGGGTGTGTGTTTTTGTTTATCCAAAGACGTTTCACCAACTGGTGGTTTAATCAGTGAAGCAGCTGCTTGGAGAAACATCTTCGTAAAACAATACCCAGATGTTGCACATGTGCCTCTGATATACCTCTGATGAGTTCCAAGAGTTCTTCTTCTCCCAGAGTCAAGCCTTGGGCCAGGCTCATCTGGTGCTTGCTTACTCCACCAGGCTATTGCTGCTGGTGGCAGCATGTGTCAAAATGCTCATTGTGTCGGTGATATAATGATCATTAACCCGTAAACTGTCCAAACGTATATATACGTTTTTTCAACATTTGAAAGTATGTAAAAAAGTAGACCTTCTTTTTGTTTGTTTATGTTTGAAAATGTGTAAAAAAACTTTGATCTACTTTTTTTTTTGTTATATTTGAAAATATGTAAAAAAAACGTAGATCTACTTTTGGAGCACTGCACATGTGAACGTAGATCTGCTTGGACCGTTTACGGGTTAAATCATGTATGACCAGCAAAATTAATTGTTGAACAGGCAGGATAAAAATCATTATACAGTAGAATGGACATGATAAAAACCATGACACAGTAGAATGGGCAGTATGTGGATGAGCTTTGTAGAGGTAATAATAGTAGCAATAATAATAGTAGTAATGTGATAAAAACTAAAGATAATCAGTAAATTAAAATCATGATGCAGGATTAAAGACAGTCAGTGGATACATGAGTTAAATAGAATTACATTATTGGACTATTGTAAAACATCTTAAGTGTTTTTGCTTTGAATGAAATTTGTTAAGTTTTGAATGTTGAGTGTTCTGAATGTTTATCTAGTGTATTATTTTAGTGTCTGAGTGAAATTTCTTTGTTATATTATCCATAGAACAACTCAGTAAATGTAACTCTTCAGCTTCAAGCACATGCAGTCATTCCTTACTAATTGTTTGCTTCAAGGATCAAGGAATTGAATGAGACATGCCCTTCTGTGGTTCTAACCTGATTGCCTCTCATTCCCCAGGGACTGCATAACCCCTATGGGTTTATACAGTCTCCCTTGAAAGTACTAGATAATCCTCCCTGCAGAGGGACTACCTTGATTCTAGTGAAGGTCTTTTGATCCAAGGAATTGTATCTACCCTTTGCTTCCTTTGATCAGTCCTGATTACTTCCACAGGTACTTAATGACCCCTATGAGTTTAGCCCTTCTGAATTTACCAATTGTTGTTGCTTTCGGCTAGAAGCATATTTGAATATTTTTATCAGTCACTGTCAATTGTACTTGACAGGATAAACATGAGGACCTACAGAGTATTGACAGCTGTGAGTTCATCTGGGAGGCAGGTGTTGGCTTTGCTCACTCTCCGCCACATGTACCAACACACGACATCAACCGCACTGAAATTCTCAAACTTATTCTTACCTGCTTCAGTCAGAGTATATATCAGCCATCTTCAGGTATGTTGTGTTGTCTGTTTCATCACAATGAAGTATGTTGTGTTCCTTGTGTCACTGTCAATTCAAAAATATTTTTAAGATGGGATCACCTAGCAGGCATTCCCATACTGGGGTACATATACCCTTCAGGGGCCCAGGTGAACAACAAGGGGCCTGTATGAAGAAGGGGTTTATATACTCCCACAACCCATGGCTCACCACCCACAGCCCATGGCCCACCACCCACAGCCCATGGCCCACCACCCACAGCCCATGACTCACTACCCACAACCCATGGCTCACTACCCACAACCCATGGCTCACTATCCACAACCCATGGCTCACTGCCCATAACCCATGGCTCAGTACTCACAGCCCATGGCTCACTACCCACAGCCCATGGCTCACTACCCACAACCCATGGCACTACCCACAACCCATGGCTCACTACCCACAACCCATGGCACTACCCACAACCCATGGCTCACTACCCACAACCCATGGCTCACTACCCACAACCCATGATCCATGACCCCCATCCATGACCCATGGCCCTCCATTGGTCCACCACCCATGGATCACTACTCATGGCCCACCCATGACCCAAAGCCTGCAACCAATATCCCATGGCCTGTGACCCATAGCCCTCAACCCACAGCTCACAATTCAAGACCCACAGCCCTCAGGTCACAATTCAAGACCCACAGCCCTCAGCTCACAATCCACAACCCACAATCCTCAGCTCACAATCCACAGCCCACAGCTCACAATCCTCAGCTCACAATCCTCGGCTCACAATCCACAGCCCACAGCTCACAATCTACAGCTCACAATCCATAGCCCACAGCTCACAATCCACAGCCCACAGCTCACAATCCACAGCCCACAGCTCACAATCCACAGCTCACTATCTGTGACCCTTAATTTTCTTAGATTTACTGCATGTAATATCAGGATTTTTTGAGTTCTTATTAAAATTTTTATTTGCAATTTTTTAATCAGGTTGCAACAATATTACACTGTGTGAATTTATGTTAAAAGAGAGTTTACTATATGTCACTTTAATTCTGGTTAATGTTGACAACCACAAGAAAGTCAAATAAAATAAAAAACGAGATTTGGATATGGAAAAGTCGCTGGGCACAATACAAGTGAAATATATTTAGTTTGCAATTTAAATAATGCAAACTTTGGGTGCCAAACACTATAGATGTTGACAGTGTCGTCAGTGCATCACAAACGGTGTCTCAGCATGACTGTTCCTGCTAAGCAAGAGCAGTCATAAATTAATGGTTTAGAAAATTGATTGTTAATAAATAAGACTGGTGCAACATTTGGGTATCTTACAATTTATCTAAAGCACTTGTATAAAAAGTTGGAAGAGATTATTTGGTGCATTAATATCATACATTAATAAAACTGAGTATCATACATTATTATAACTCATGAAATTGTAAAAACACTATTGCAAACAAATCAGGGAACAGGTGGTGTTTGAACCCATGGCAAGCGAGTTCTAAAACTCACAGGCCAGTGCATTAACCACTGGACCAGCTGGCTCTAATAAGATTCATCCAACTAGGTATATTTTCGTTACACCATAGGGAAGGTAGCAGTGGGCTCCACTGTGACCACAAATGCAGGTTTTTGCAGATAAATCCCATGCCAGTGAAGCCACTGCCTGCAAACCTTGCTAATTTGCAGGGAAAGATAGATACGTAGATTAAAAAGGGAAGTGGAACAGAATTCTTCCTCCCTAAGTCGTGAGTGTTGTAAGAGGCGACTAAAATGCTGGGAGCAAGGGGCTAGTTACCCCTTCTATTATTTATTTATTTATTTATTTATTTATTTATTTATTAATTTGAACATGATACAGAGTAGTACAAATGAATACAGTTAAGTGCAACATGCCAAAGCCCCTTGTATGCAGAGCATTATGGGCAGGCTTAAAATTAACTTAAGGAGGGGTGTTAATGTTGCAGTTTAAAAACTATAGTGTAAAGCACCCTTCTGGCAAGACAGTGATGGAGTGAATGATGGTGAAAGTTTTTCTTTTTCGGGCCACCCTGCCTTGGTGGGAATCGGCCAGTGTGATAATAAATAAAAAATTAACTAAGCAGTGATATATTCAGTGGTAAAACATTATTGTAAACAGATAACAATTAAGCACAAATGAGTATTACAAAGACAGGTCATACAGTCATTTACTGTATTGCTGTGCATTCAGTAGAATGGAGTATTCTGTTGGGTAATGTAATTAAAAAATAACAAAGTTTGATTGAGTATCAGGTTAAACATTTATGAGATACAATTATGAGAAACATATATGAGATACAATTTTTAAGATACAATTATTCAGTATTTATTTGGTTGTGGGTGAGTAAGTGATTTTTAAGAAGAGACTTGAATTTATAAACAGACAGTGTTTCTTTTATATTTACAGGTAATGAATTCCAGATTTTAGGGCCTTTTATGTGCATTGAGTTTTTGCATAGCGTGAGATGGACACGAGGAACATCAAAGAGTGATCTGTGCCTTGTGTTATGGTCATGTGTTCTGTTGAGGTTGGTAAGGAGACGTTTGAGGGGAGGGTTTATACCCGAGTTAAGTGTTCTATGTGTGTAATAGGTACGGTAATAAGTATGGATATTTTATATGGTGGGTAGGTTTAGTGTTTTAAATATTGGTGGAGTGTGCTGCCTGTAGTGAGAATTTGTTATCATTCTGACTGCAGCCTTTTGTTGGGTAATTAGTAGTCTCAGATGGTTTATTGTTGTTGAGCCCCATGCACAAATTCCATAGGTGAGATAGGGGTAAATAAGTGAGTGATATATACATTATTAAGTTTAAAAAGAGAAATTTGCATTTTACCTTTAGGCCACCCTGCCTTGGTGGGATACAGCTGGTTCGTTGAAAAAAAAAAATAGATTTAACAAAGCATAAATATGTTTGATATAATTTACAACCATGGTGAAATCACACAAGGATGTGTGATGTAACCATGGTTGTTCAGTATATTCATAGATGGGGTTGTAAGAGAAATGAATGCTCAGGTGTTGGCAAGAGGTGTGGGGTTAAAAGATAAAGAATCTAACACAAAGTGGGAGTTGTCACAGTTCTTTGCTGATGACACTGTGCTTTTGGGAGATTCTGAAGAGAAGTTGCAGAGGTTGGTGGATGAGTTTGGTAGAGAATGTAAAAGAAGAAAATTAAAAGTGAATAGTATAGGAAAGAATAAGGTGATGAGGATAAAAAAAATTAGATAGCAAAAGATTGGATATTAGATTGGTGGGAGAGAGTATGGAGGAGGTGAATGTATTCAGATACTTAGAAGTGGACATGTCAGCAGATGGGTCTATGAAAGATGAGGTGAATCATAGAATTGACGAAGGAAAAAAGGTGAGTGGTGCACTGAGGAGTCTGTGGAGACAAAGAACTTTGTCCATGGAAGCAAAGAGGGGAATGTATGAGAGTATAGTTATACCAATGCTCTTATATGGATGCAAAGCATGTGTGGTGAATGTTGCAAGAAGGAGGAAGCTGGAGACAGTGGAGATGTTGTGTCTAAGGGCAATATATGGTGTGAATATAATGCAGAGAATTCATTGTTTGGGAATTAGGAGGTGCAGGATTACCAAAAGTATTATCCAGACGGCTGAGGATGGATTGTTGAGGTAGTTTGGACATGTAGAGAGGGTGGAACAAAATAGAACGACTTCAAGAGTGTATAAATCTGTAGTGGAGGGAGGGCGTGGTAGAGGTTGGCCTAGGAAAGGTTGGAGGGAGGGGGTAGAGGAGGTTTTGTGTACACAGGGCTTTGACTTCCAGCAAGCATGCTTAAGCGTGTTAGATAGGAGTGAATGGAGACAAATGGTTTTTAGGACTTGACATACTGTTGGAGTGTGAGCAGGGTAATATTTATGAAGGGATTCCGGGAAACTGGCACAGGCTGGACTTGAGTTCTGGAGATGGGAAGTACAGTGCCTGCACTCTGAAGGAGGTGTGTTAATGTAAGCATAAGTGTAAGCGTAGTGCAAGCACACCTCTGGCAAGACAGTGATGGAGTGAATGATGGTGAAAGTTTTTCTTTCAGGCCACCCTTCCTTGGTGGGAAACAGCCAATGTGTTAATAAAAACAAAAATTACAAGGGATAACATTTCTTTCTTTACTAAACCATTATTATTTTGGCAGACTCATCTGATGCTCCAAACCGGTGGATATCAGTGTTCACTTCAGCAGACAACCGTCATGCACTACCTTTGTTCACTTCGCTTCTCAACGTTGTGTGTGGCTACAACCCTGTAGGCTTTGGAGTTCCATACAATCACCTTCTCTTCTCTGACTCCAGAGAACCACTAGTGGAAGTGGCTCTGCAGATTTTAATAACAACATTAGACCATGACATCACTGCTGCTTTATCAGAGATGGAAGAGGTTGGTTGTGTCATATTAAATATAAATTAACAAGAGTGGGAAAGATAGACACACTTTTCAGAGAGGAACTTCACTGAGATGTTATGTCTGTGAAACAGGCTTTGTTTAATGAACTCTGTGGTCTGTCTTGTCCACTTGTTGGCCTTGTTCTGTTTATCTCTTAGCAACCATGGACACCAAGACTGTGTGTAGTGGTTGAAGTTTGTATAAGACACCAAGTAGAAGACTAGGGTCTTCTGACGTGGATCTTAGCAAAACAATGATCCAATAAATGGCTAATCATCATCATGTATACCAGAGCTATGTTTTACCCCATTTAAAAATGAAAGGACCGCTACACAGTAGATTTCTAAGATGTTTCCAGGTACTAGATAACCCAGTGGAATAAATTATATTTTCTGTTTTATGAGAGTAAGTAATATCAGTGTCCTGTTGAGAGAGGTGCAGTAAAGTAGCTTTTATTTATGTCAAAATTTGGTACAGTATTTGGTACATTAAATTAATGCTTACATGTTCTGCTGCCCTATACAGGGAAGGATTTTAATCCTAGTTTGAATCCAGTCAGTGCACATGAAACTCTTTGTAATACTTGGTAACCAGTCAGAGAGTGCTAATTTTTTCCCAAGCCAAGTGAGGAGGTGAAATATGGAGAGCATTTCCCAGTCATTCTCAGTTACTAATAAGTAAGAATATTGACACGTCCCATAATCTATCTCCTGTATGTACCTCTCTCTTCCAGGTACATAAACACTTAATATAACCTTTTTGTCATGTCCCACCCTTATTCTAATCCATATAATTCTTGAATTTATGCACCTATTCCACCACTTCTCCTTCCATAGTTGATCATTTAATATTACTGCTGCCATCTAATAATAATAATAATAATAATAATACTTATTATAATATTTTTTAACACCGGCCATCTCCCACTGAGGTAAGGTGAACCAGAAAGAAGAAACACATTAACCATCACTCACTCCATCACTGTCTTGCCAGATATCCCCACCTCTCATTCAGAGTGCAGACACTGTACTCCCCATCTCCAGGACTCAGATCCACTTAATTGGTTTCTCTGAATCCCTCTGAATCTCACTCCAACAACACATCAAGTCACATAAAACACTTGTCCTCACTCCTAACACACACAAACCTGCTGGATGTTCAAGCCCATCGCATACAAAACCTCCTTCCTGCTGGAGGTAGTGGAGATGTCGTATTTGAGGGTAATGGGTAGCATAAATATTATGAAGAGAATTCATAGTTTGGAAATTAGGAAGAAGTACGTAGTTACAAGTATTTTCCAGAGGGTTGAGCAGGGGTTGTAGAGGTGGTTTGGTCATTTAGAGAGGATGGAGTAAAATAGGTTGACTTGGAGAGTGTATAAATCTGTAGTGAAATGAAGGAGAGGTAGGGGTCATCCTTGGAAAGGATTGCAGGAAGGGGTAAAAGAGGTTTTGTGTGTATAAGGCTTGGACATACAGCAGGCATATATGAGCATCTTCGGAGTGAATCGAGACAAATGGTTTTTAGGACTTGATGAGCTGCTGGAGTGTGAGCAGGATAATATTTTGTGAAGGGATTCAGGGAAACTGGTTAGCCAGACTTGAATCCTGGAGGTGGGAAGTACAATGCCTGAACTCTAAAGGAGGGGTTTTGGATATTTGCTGTTTAGAGGTAGTACATCTAAACTGTCGTATCTGTGCACCTCCGGCAAGATAGTGATAGTGTAAGTGATGTTGAAAGAGTTTCTTCTTTGGGTCACCCTGTCTCGGTGGGAGATGGCCAACGTGTTAAGAAAAATGGAATATTAGTGCTTGTTTTCATTTTAATTTTGGAAAGTAAATAAATTTTACAAGATTGTGTTAAACATATGGTTTTTACAATTTTTGAAAAGACCATAGTTATGCACAGTATTTTGTGCAGTAATTCTGAGTGTTTTTAAAAGCCACTTCATACAATATTATTTTATTATCTGTATTACTTTATGTTTAATGAAGTTCAGCTCAGATATATATTACAACTATAGTATATGTTTATCAGAAAGAAGAAGTATCCAGGGACAGATCTACTATGAAACTAATGATGCTTAAGCTTTAGGGCCCCTATTTTGGAGGGACCCTGGAAGCAACTTTAGTGCACATTACTTAGAAATTTTGGGTGTTCTATGAGAAGTGGTTGCAAAGGGGCCCTCATAACAGTTCAAGCTTCAGGGCCCCAAAAATGTAGGTCTGCCAAGGTGTAGTAGCCAGAAGTGTGACTAAATCTTTATTTACTAAATCTTTGTTTTAGTATGTCTTCCTTCATACTGGGTAACAAAATATTGTTGATACAGAAGGATTCAAGGATGTTGATTAACCAGACTTGAGTCCTGGAGGTGGAAAGTGAAATAACTGAACTTTGTAGGAAGAGGGGAGGTGGGAAATATAGTGCCTGCACTCTGTAGGTGGGGTAGAGGTGGGAAATACAGTACTTGCACTCTGTAGGGTGGGAGGAGATGTTGCAGTTCAAAAGGTCATTTGAATTGTGATGTTTGCACACTTCTGGCAAGACAACTTTTGAATGAGTGATGGTACATGTTTGTCCTCCTTTGGATTAACCTACCTTGGTAGGAAGCTGCTCGTTGTAAAAAAATTAATGTTCACTTACAGGTGTACTCACCTAGTTGTGGTTGCATGGGTTGATTCACAGCTCCTGACTTCAGTAAAGTATGTCTGTTTATAGCATCTGTGATTGTGTTGCAGTCTGCAGTGCCAGATAACCTGTTCATCAACTATCTGAGTCGCATCCACCGAGAAGAAGACTTCTCCTTCGTGCTTCGAGGTTTTACCCGCTTGCTAAATAATCCGCTTCAGCAGACCTATCTTCCACATTCCACCAAGAAAGTGAATTTCCATCAAGAGTTGATGGTCTTCTTTTGGAAGTTCTGTGACTATAACAAGGTTCGTACAACAATGGAGTTTACAGTTTTTGAAGTTTAAAATATGACTGCATTTTGGATATATGTAATCTGTGGCTTTGAGGGGTATGAGAACAGATGTACCATGAAAACTTCTTGGGTTTTTGGGATGAGACAGTAGGGTCACAGTGGGTGCTTCTGAACCAACCTAGTCATGGAAGTGCTGGTTATAAAATCATCCCATTGTAAGCTCTGGGGCCAGAGTGTTGCAGTGATGAGCCTTCTATATGAATCACAGGGATGTTAGGAAGTATTTCTTCAGCCACAGAGTAGTCAGGAAGTGGAATAGTTTGGGAAGCGATGTAATGGAGGCAGAATCCATACATAACTTTAAGCAGAGGTATGATAAAGCTCACGGTTCAGGGAGAGTAACCTAGTAGTGACCAGTGAAGAGGCGGGGGCCAGGAGCTTGGACTCGACCCCTGCAACCTCTACTAGGTGAGTACAACCAGATGAGTACCCCTCTGGGTTTTCTGCTATTTTCTTTCTAGTTCTTGTTCTTGTTTATTTCCTCTTATCTCCATGGGGAAGTGGAACAAAATTCTTCCTCCGTACGCCATGCGTGTTGTAAGAGGCAACTAAAATGCCGGGAGCAAGGGGCTAGTAACCCCTCTCCTGTATATATTACTAAATGTAAAAGGAGAAACTTTCGTTTTTCCTTTTGGGCCACCCTGCCTCGGTGGGATATGGCCGGTGTGTTGAAAGAAAGAAAAATAATAATAATAATAATAATACCACCACCACCATGAGATGGCATTACGTGTATGAAAACACTCCACGAGTGCTTCAGCTGGTGGAGATAATTCTCGTAATTTCCTTACGTTTCATGCAGTTATTTTGCAGAATTTCTTGTTTCTAACCATGGATCCTAAGAAAGCAAGTGTAAAGGACAGTGCTGAGAAGAAAAAGAGGATGATTTCCATGGAATTAAAGCAGGAAATCATTGATAAACACAAACTGAGAGTGTAGCATTAAGAGTGTAGCATTAAGAGTATGTCATTAAGAGTGTAGCATGCATTAAGAGTGTAGCATTAAGAGTGTAGCATTAAGAGTGTAGCATTAAGAGTGTATCATTAAGAGTGTATCATTAAGAGTGTAGCATTAAGAGTGTAGCATTAAGAGTGTAGCATTAAGAGTGTACCATTAAGAGTGTACCATTACGAATGTAGCGATTAAGTGACAGAAAAAGGACGAAACAAAATTAGCTCCTGACAACATACGCCGCTGTGCCCAGCATCCCTTCTACCTCATCAACTTTGCTAGCATCTCTTCTCCAAGGTAAATGCTGTATTATTATTATTATTTTTACGTATTATTATTTTACGTATTATTATTTTACGTATTATTATTTTACGTATTATTATTTTACGTATTATTATTTTACGTATTAGTATGTTGAAGGATAATATATAGTAGGAAAAGAGGGACTACAAATGTATTAATTCAAGGATTATGTGGAGTAAAATTAAGGTTGGATGTGAAAAGTGGGTTATAGTAAGCGTATATGCACCTGGAGAAGAGAGAAGTGTTGAGGAGAGAGAGAGAGATTTTGGGAAATGTTGAGTGAATGCGTGGGGAGTTTTAAACCAAATGTGAGAGTACTTGTGGTTGGGGATTTCAATGCTAAAGTGGGTAAAAATGTTGTGGAGGGAGTAGTAGGTAAATTTGGGGTGCCAGGGGTAAATGTAAATGGGGAGCCTTTAATTGAACTATGTGTAGAAAGAGATTTGATAATTTTTTTTTTTTTTTTTTTTTTTTTTTTGATAATAAGTAATACATATTTTATGAAAAAGAGGATAAATAAATATACCAGGTATGATGTAGCATGTAATGAAAGTAGTTTGTTAGATTATGTATTGGTGGATAAAAGGTTGATGGGTAGGCTCCAGGATGTACGTGTTTATAGAGGGACAACTGATATATCTAATCATTATTTAGTTGTAGCTACAGTTAGAGTAAGAGGTAGATGGGACAAGAGGAAGGTGGCAACAACAAGTAGGAGGGAAGTGAAAGTGTATGAACTAAGGGAGGAGAAAGTTTGGGTGAGATATAAGCGACTATTGGCAGAAAGGTGGGCTAGTGCAAAGATGAGTAGTGGGGGGGTTGAAGAGGGTTGGATGAATTTTAAAAATGCAGTATTAGAATGTGGGGCAGAAGTTTGTGGTTATAGGAGGGTGGGGGCAGGAGGAAAGAGGAGTGATTGGTGGAATGATGAAGTAAAGGGTGTGATAAAAGAGAAAAAGTTAGCTTATGAGAGGTTTTTACAAAGAAGTGTTATAAAAAGAGCAGAGTATATGGAGAGTAAAAGAAAGGTGAAGAGGGTGGTGAGAGAGTGCAAAAGGAGAGCAGATGATAGAATGGGAGAGGCACTGTCAAGAAATTTTAATGAAAATAAGAAAAAATTTTGGAGTGAGTTAAACAAGTTAAGAAAGCCTAGGGAACGTATGGATTTGTCAGTTAAAAACAGAGTAGGGCAGTTAGTAGATGGGGAGAGGGAGGTATTAAGTAGATGGCGAGAATATTTTGAGGAACTTTTAAATGTTGAGGAAGAAAGGGAGGCGGTAATTCCATGCACTGGCCAGGGAGGTATACCATCTTTTAGGAGTGAAGAAGAGCAGAATGTAAGTGTGGGGGAGGTACGTGAGTCATTACGTAGAATGAAAGGGGGTAAAACAGCTGGAATTGATGGGATCATGACAGAAATGTTAAAAGCAGGGGGGGATATGGTGTTGGAGTGGTTGGTACTTTTGTTTAATAAATGTATGAAAGATGGGAAGGTACCTAGGGATTGGCAGAGAGCATGTATAGTCCCTTTATATAAAGGGAAGGAGGACAAAAGAGATTGTAAAAATTATAGAGGAATAAGTTTACTGAGGATACCAGGAAAAGTGTACAGTAGGGTTATAATTGAAAAAATTAGAGGTAAGACAGAATGTAGGATTGCAGATGAGCAAGGAGGTTTCAGAGTGGGTAGGGGATGTGAGGATCAAGTGTTTACATTGAAACATCTATGTGAACAGTATTTAGATAAAGGTAGGGAAGTTTTTATTTAGAAAAGGCATATGATAGAGTGGATAGGGGAGCAATGTGGCAGATGTTGCAAGTATATGGAATAGGTGGTAAGTTACTAAATGCTGTAAAGAGTTTTTATGAGAATAGTGAAGCTCAGGTTAGGGTGTGTAGAAGAGAGGGAGACTACTTCCCGGTAAAAGTAGGTCTTAGGCAGGGATGTGTAATGTCACCATGGTTGTTTAATATATTTATAGATGGGGTTCTAAAAGAAGTAAATGCTAGGGTGTTTGGGAGAGGGGTGGGATTAAATTATGGGGAGTCAAATACAAAATGGGAATTGACAGTTATTTTTTGCTGATGATACTGTGCTTGTGGGAATTTCTAAAGAAAAATTGCAAAGGTTAGTGGATGAGTTTTGGAGTGTGTGTAAAGGTAGAAAGTTGAAAGTGAACATTGAAAAGAGTAAGGTGATGATGAGGGTATCAAATGATTTAGATAAAGAAAAATTGGATATCAAATTAGGGAGGAGGAGTATGGAAGAAGTGAATGTTTGCAGATACTTGGGAGTTGACGTGTCGGCGGATGGATTTATGAAGGATGAGGTTAATCATAGAATTGATGAGGGAAAAAAAGGTGAGTGGTGCGTTGAGGTATATGTAGAGAAAAAAAACGTTACCTATGGAAGCAAAGAAGGGAATGTATGAAAGTATAGTAGTAACAATACTCTTATATGGGTGTGAAGCTTGGGTTGTGAGTGCAGCAGTGAGGAGGCGGTTGGAGGTAGTGGATATGTCCTGTCTAAGGGCAATGTGTGATGTAAATATTATGCAGAAAATTAGGAGAAGGTGTGGAGTTAATAAAAGTATTAGTCAGAGTGCTGAAGAGGGGTTGTTGAGGTGGTTTGGTCATTTAGAGAGAATGGATCAAAGTAGAGTGACATGGAGAGCATTTAAATCTGTAGGAGAAGGAAGGCGGGGTAGGGGTCATCCTCGAAAAGGTTGGAAGGAAGGGGTAAGGGAGGTTTTGTGGGCAAGGGGCTTGGACTTCCAGCAGGCGTGCATGAGCGTGTTCGATAGGAGTGAATGGAGACGAATTGTATTTGGGACCTGAAAGGATTCAGGGAAACCGGTTATTTTTATATAGCCGGACTTGAGTCATGGAAATGGGAAGTACAATGCCTGCACTCTAAAGGAGGGGTTTCGGGATATTAGCAGTTTGGAGGGATATGTTGTGTATCTTTATACGTATATGCTTCTAAACTGTTGTGTTCTGAGCACCTCTGCAAAAACAGTGATTATGTGTGAGTGAGATGAAAGTGTTGAATGATGATGAAAGTATTTTCTTTTTTGGGGATTTTCTTTCTTTTTGGGTCACCCTGCCTTGGTGGGAGACGGCGGACTTGTTGAAAAAAAAAATTATTATTATTATTATGATTGTTGTTATTTTTATTATTATTATTATTATTATTATTATTATTGTTGTTTTCCTTATGAATCTACATAGTGATCTAATGGAGTTTGCCTTACAAACACTCTGTTTTCTGTTATAATAAAAAAAGCATGGGAAGGTATGTAATCAGGAGCAGGAACAATGGCTGCTGGCTGCTGCCTCCACTACCACTACTCAAGTGTGTAATGACATATTTCATTCATTCTAGTGTATATATCATGTTTCTGTGTTATTAATATTGTTTATTATGTCATATTAGATGAATTGTGATAGATAAATAAGCCATAGATATTAGGGAAATATTTATTCAAGTATTTTGTTGTGCCTGGAATTCCACTGGGATGGATTAATTCCATTTCAATTAATTTAAATGAGGAAAATTGACTCTAAAAACGAGCAAATCCAGTGCGAGCAAGGTCATGGAATGGATTAAACTTGTAAGTAGAGGTTCCACTGTACAATGCCTGCACTTTCAAGGAGTTTGGGATATTGGCAGTTTGGAGAGACATCTAAACAGTAATATCTGAGTGCCTCTGCAAAGACATTGATTATGTATGAGTGATGGTAAAAGTGTTGAATGATGAAAGTTTTTTCCTTTCTTTTTGGGTTTTTTCATTTTTTTGGGGTCACCCTGCCTCGGTGGGAAATGGCTGACATGTTAAAAAAAAAATCATACATAAGCTTCCTGCCTTTCTTTCTCCTGCCGCTGCTGCTGATCATCATCATCATCTTGCAACTTGTATACTCTTTCTTCATATGTAAATGAATGGATTTTATACAGTATTTAAAAATAAAAGAGGGGGTTATTTGATGGGGTGTTGTAGGTAATGGAAAGTTTGGTTGGAATATTTTGAGTTGTTAAATGTTGATGAAGAAAAGGAGGCAGTGATTTCATGCATTGGCCAGGGAGGTGTAATATCCTTTAGGAGTGAGGAAGAGCCAGATGTGAGAGTGTGGAGTTGCATGAGGCTGTGGGTAAAATGAAAGGGGGATAAAGCAGCTGGAATTGATGGGAGTCAAGACAGAAATGTTAAAAGTTGGGGGGTATAGTTTTAGAATAGTTAGTTCTTTTGATCAGTAAATGTATGAAAAAGGGAAAGGTACCTAGGGATTGGCAGAGAGCATGCATAGTTTCTTGGTATAAAGGCAAAGGGGGACAATAAGTATGTTGAGTATAACAGGTAAAGTGTGTGGTAGTCATTATTAAAAGAATTAAGAGTAAGACAGAAAGCAGGATTGCAGATGAATATGGAGGCTTCAGGAAAGGTAGGGGATGTGTAGACCAAGTGTTTACTTTGAAACATACAAGTAAACAATATTTAGATAATGATAAGAAAGTTTTTGCTGCATTCATAGATTTATAAAAGGCATATGACAGGGTGGATAGGGAAACATTGTGGCATATGTTGCAAGTGTATTGAATAACTGGTAGGTTACTGAAAGCAGATAAGAGTTTTTGGGAGTTGCAACAGTTGCTTTTTGCCAATGACACTGTGCTTTTGGGAGATTCTGAAGAGAAGTTGCAATGATTGGTGGACGAATTTGAGAGGGTATGTAAAAGAAGGAAATTAAAAGTGAACATAGGAAAGAGCAAGTTGATGATAGTAACAAATGATTTAGATAATGAAAGATTGGATATCAGATTGGAAGGAGGGAGTATGGAGAAAGTGAATGTGTTTAGATATTTGGGAGTGGACTTATCAGTAGATGGGTCTATGAAAGACCAGGTGAACTTTTCATCCTTTATGGCTCAATTTTTTTTTTTTTTTCCTTTTCAGAAATTTTTGTTCTACGTTTTGAAAAGTAGTGATGTGTTGGACATCCTGGTTCCTATACTGTACCATCTCAATGATGCCCGTGCTGACCAGTGTAAGTGGTTTGTTAAACTTGACTCATATAGGGTTAACCCTGCATTTAGAAATTGAGAAAGGAATACACAAGTGTATATGCAGAAATGAAGTAAATTGTGCAAGGAATGTAAATGAGGGAGTAATAGTAATACATAGTTTATTTCTACAACATCTTTGGTTGTTACAAAAATTGTGACAATTAGTAGTACATAATGAAGTTTTTGTTATGCAGAGTATTTTTGGCAAACTAAACTTTAAGCACAAGGCTAAGAGAATTTAATGTAGGGAAAGGGTAAGGGTGGTTTTGTGTGCAAGGGGCTTGGACATAGAGCAGGTATGTGTGATAGGAGTAGAGGCAAATGGTTTTTGGGACATGGCAAGCTGTTGGAGTGCGAGCAGGGTAATATTTTGTGAAGGGATTCAGGGAAACTGGTTAGCCAGATTTGAATCCTGGAGGTGAAAAGTACAGTACCAGCACTCTAAAAGAGGATATTTGCTGTTCAGAGGTACATCTAAACTGTTGCATCTGTGCACCTCTGGCAAGACAGTGATTGTGTAAATGATGGTGAAAGTAATCCTAATAAATTTACGAATGAACATAGAGGAAAGTAGGTTGATAGTGGAGTCAATCAAATTTTATTCTCAGATGCAGTGTCCTTTGCCCTTTGTATTTCCCCATCTACATCAGTGACCTTCTCAATGTATCTCAGGTACTTGGTATAAACCTTGGTAATAAGGTTTATACCTCAGGTACTTATATCTCAGGTACTTAAACCTGTTATCTTTGTAGATGACACAGCTTTTGTCATTGTAATAATGTTGGTAGAATTACCAACAATTTGTTCGGCAAAAGAACACATGGAACTAATGTGACATTTTATTATGGCAACATTTTGCTCTTCAAGAGCTTTGTCAAGCCATTATGGCTTATTAAAGCTCCTGGAGAGTGAAACATTGCCACAATAAAATATTGCATTAGTTGCACATGTGTCCTTTTACCTAACTTTTGTAATCTAATCAGTTCTGGTTTCTCTCAATGGGCTCATGAAGATATCTACTTGGATGACTACCAGTGGACTTGCTCTTTGTATTGACAAGACTTTCTTTATTATGTCTGGGGACAGAGTGAAAATGTACAATTCAGTGTAAATGATTCACTCATTATCAAACTGGATGAGGAAAAATTCTTCTGTTTATAACCTGACAGCACTTTAAAATTCAGTTCTCACATCCAGTACATATCCAAGGTCTCCATAACAGTGGTCATCTTTTGTATGCGCCTTATATGCCTTAAACAACAGGGTTTTTACTAGGTGTGCTTCAGTTATTGGGATGACCTAAACCACAAAAAATCATTCTTCATTATATTTTATGAGTCAGAAACAGGGTAAATATTTTTCTTTTTTTTTGTGTGTGATTTATTCAAAATGGAGGGCAAGTGTTGTATAGGAGAGTGCTGGGGAGGTGATTAATGAACAGAGAAGAAGCTGCTTTAGTGGCAGGAATGCTGAGAGTGTTTATATTGGATTCTGTTTTTAAATTGGCGTTTTTTTTATTTTGTGTACAGTTAGCCAAATTACTGACTTATGTGCACATTTTAAAGTTGTTTTGATAAATGAATGGATAGTGTCTTGTGCTCAGTTGATAAAATGGAAGGTATACTATGAAATAGTTAGAATTTGGGTTGATTTGAGCACTGGAATTGGCTGAAATTATGACTCAAAGTTGGCAAAATCGCTGATGCATAATTTGTGCCCAGACCTCTAACTTCACCCCTGCATAATTCCATAAGTTTTCCATCAAATTTCACATTTTTTGTGTCACTACTTTCAGGAAAAGATTCTTGCTATTTCAACAGATAATTGTTTTTATAAATTGCGACACTCATCACTTTTAATTTTAGGGATCCTGAGAGTGAAAGGGTTAATTTTAGTCTAAGTTTGGTCTAAATGCTGTGTTTACAATCCCAGTGGGACTGGGAATACGCCCAGTCTTGCTGGGTGCATGATGTTTGTAGGATTGTATGGTCCACTGGTTAGAGCAGCATGAACTTTGACTGGCTTCCTACGAGGCAAGGCAAAGTAGCATGGGATCAATCTCTGGCCATGCTGCAGTTTTGCTAATGCTTCAGTACTGCTTGTTTTAGGGTTGCATTAATATTAAGTAATAGTATATTGAAAGAGCAGTGCTAATATAGAGATACCAGTTGAAAACAGTACTGGGTGTTTGTGGATATTATGTTAAATAGGTTTCTTATTTGACAGTGTAAACAATTTAACTTCAGTATGTGGCACATAATAATTGTTTTAGCTTAGTCTTGAATTCAGTAAGAATGTTACAGTTTTTCAGTTCATCCTGTAAGTTATTCCACATCTTTGGCTCTTTAATTTACATAGAGTTTTTGTAGAAGTTCCGTCGAACATGAGGGACATCAAAGAGGTACAGTATTTGTTTCATGTGTGGTACTTATGTGTTCTGTTACAGTTTCCTAAGATTTGACCAAGTTCAGCATCAGCATTATAGTGTAGTGTTTTGAAGATGTGGATTTTACTTTAGCATGTATGAATGTCATTTACAAATATTAGTAATATGCATATATCGCAAACCAACCAATACAGGATGCATTCTACTCCCCCCGTGGTTGTTTTGCATGTACTCATATATTTAAGGATTTGAACTACAACAGAAAATGCAGACACAATACAAGAAATAAGTATTTCTTTGATATACCACATGTTCAACTCAAGCTCTACAGTAACTTAATGAAAATAAAGTGCCCTAAAATTTGGAAATTCTAGAGGATTCAGAAGCTTTCCTTTCTGCTACCTGCTTCAAAAATGTAGTTAAAAAGTCTGCCCTAAAACCTGCTTAGATCAGTTATGTTAAAAGTTCAGAATATATTTAAATGCTGAATAACCAAAGCTGTCTAATGGTTTGTAAATACAATAGAACAAAAGCAAGTTCTGAATAAACTATGTCAAGAATTCTTATTGTTTCATCATTAGTGCTCTTTATAGATCTTAGCCAAAATTGACAAGAAATAAGTATATTACAGTACATTTGGTTAGGTAGGTGTACAGTTGATTGTGAATTACAGATTGTGAAACTTATCAAAGGTATGTCAGACTCATCAGAGGTACTAAATATTTTTGATAGTACTGATAGATGAGAGATTGATCTTTAGTTATTAGCATTAGTTCACTCACCATCTTTGTGGAAGGGTGTTATCCTGACTCTATTGAGAGCATCTTGATAGGTTTGTTCCTCAAATGATTTGCTGAAATGTAATGCAATAGCTGGAGATAATACTTGTGCAACTTTTTCATAGATGATTGTGTGCTGTTTGCACTACTGGCTGAATATTTAAGTGATTCTATTAGCTATTGAAAGTATTTCTGTAGGGATAGTGGGAGCCAAATACAAGGAGTTTGGAAAATTGCCTGTCAGATAGCTACTGATGCTGATTTGAACTTCTGGAATGTTATTTACATGGTTTGTCCCTACTGTAGCAAAGAAGTTATTTTAATGGTGTCAGTAATCAAGAGTGGGGGTTCATTTACTCTTGAGAGGATTACTGTACTTGTTGATATCTTGAAGATTTTTTTATTCTAGAATTGGGAGGCGTGTGTTCTGCATTTTTATACTATCGCCCTTTTTAATAATTAAATCTAGTGCAATAGTGCCATAGTTTTGTTTATATCTTCTTAAAATAGTAATAAGTGATACAGAGTATATCTTTACTGTTGTCTTGGAAATGAGGCCTAGTCTGTACTTCTCATTATTGTGTTTCTTGTTTTCCCTCTTGCCTGTAAGGAGCTCTTGATGCAAGGAATGGGCCCATCCTTCCCTACCCTGGATCGAACTTGATTGCCTCCCATTCTCCAAGGTGCTCTATGACTTCTACAGATCTGAACTGTCGTATCTACATATGTCTGGCAAGACAGTGATAGTGTTAAGGATGGTGAAAGTGTTTCTTTTTTGGATCACCCTGCCTTGGGAGACAGCCAGCTTGTTAAAAAAAAATTATAATGATAAAAATAATAATTTTTTTTTTCTTTCAACAAGTCGGCCGTCTCCCACCGAGGCAGGATATTTGCTGTTTAGAGTGACATATAAACTGTTATATCTGCACGCCTCTGCAAAGACAGTGATTGTGTGAATGATGGTGAAAGTATTTTTTTTTTTTTTTTTTTTTTTTTTGTCACCCTGCCTTGGTGGGAGATGGCCAGTTGGGTAAAAAAAAAAATATTTTCCCTGTGAAAATAAAAAATACAAATAATTGATTGTAAAATTTACTTGCAGCAAGAGTGGGACTAATGCACATAGGTGTTTTTATCCTGCTGTTATTGAGTGGTGAACGTAACTTCGGTGTGCGTCTTAACAAGCCCTACACAGCCTCTGTGCCCATGGATATTCCAGTATTTACAGGTTAGACACAAACATTTCAATTTTGATGATAGCTTTATGTGAATTAATAAATAATAATATAATACTGTATTTTTTTTTTCAACAAGTCAGCCGTCTCCCACTGTATTATGATATATGAAAGCTTTTAGAAACATTTGAAGTTACTAATATTTGTGTGCAAATGGACAAATGGCTGGTGATGAAAATGGGTAAAAACAGTTTATAAAATACCTGATTACTATGGTAATATATTAAGATGCTATGCACTTTATTACAACAGTAAATATTGTTTCCAGGCACACATGCAGACTTGATGATCATTGTGTTCCACAAGATCATCACCACAGGTCACCAGCGTCTCCAGCCGCTCTTTGACTGCCTTCTTACCATCCTTGTTAATGGTGAATACTTAATGCCTATCACTGTTTTGCTTTCTTAACAATGTCAAAAATATGTAGATGCTGGTGAGCTCTTAAGCCAAGAAACTTAACTTACCTTTCCCTTGCTCAGATTGAATTTGAGTGCCTCATTTCACAGGTGCTGCATAATTCCTATGGGTTAACATTTTTCTCTGATTAAAATATAACAATTGTGAACAGCATCAATCTTTAATAACTGATGTATCGTACGTAATGGATGGAAGGTTTCACTGGTTTAGTCTTGTAGCCTCAAATTTTGTTGAATTCTTTGCAATAACTGGAAAATGCATCTTATGGTTGGCTTTAAACTTTTAGTACTGATGTGTTTTCCTCCATGGGGAAGTGGAACAGAATTCTTCCTCCGTAAGCCATGAGTGTCGTAAGAGTCGACTAAAATGCCAGGAGCAAGGGGCTAGTAACCCCTTCCCTGTATACATTACTAGAGTTAAAAAGAGAAACTTTTGTTTTTCTTTTTGGGCCACCCTGCCTTGGTGGGAAATGGCCAATTTGTTGAAAGAAAGAAAGAAGTGTTTTCCTCCAAAGAAACAATCTCTTCATGTTAGGTTGTATAAGATATCATGGATCAGTTTTACTAATCAAATTGGTTTCTGTAACATAATTGAAGAATATCTCTTCTGATCAGAGATAAGTCATTATTTGACTTTATATGGTTATCCTAGCTTAAATAAGTCACAATGTTTGACTCTCTGGTTATCCTAGGTTAAATAAGTCACAGTGTTTGACTGTCTGGTTATCCTAGGTTAAATAAGTCACAGAGTTTGAATGTCTGGTTATCCTAGGTTAAATAAGTCACAGTGTTTGACTGTCTGGTTATCCTAGGTTAAATAAGTCACAGAGTTTGACTGTCTGGTTATCCTAGCTTAAAAAGTCAGTGTTTGACTGTCTGGTTATCCTAGGTTAAATAAACTTAATATTCTTTTATGTGTGTGTAACATTTGTGTGCCCGCAAGACCATTATTAAAAATTTGTGTGTTTTACACTAAGCTTACATAAAACTTACCTACTTACTGTACTTTCTTGGAAGGTGGTCATTCTTACCCGGAGAAAGGTGTGGATTGATTTTGTTTGGTGTAGGTTCTAATTTAATACAGCCTCTGCTCACTTTACAACGGAGTTATATTCCTAACTTTCAAAACTACCATTAAAAGGCACCTTATCTGCCTAATACATCCCACCATCAGCTAGCTATGTGAAACCCACCTATTCTCTTTTTTTGTATCATAACACATCCAAAACAAAGTAGATTTGCTCTCGTTATCTGTAATTCCCCCTTTTTTATGCTAACACTCACCCAAATGACTGTAAACATAAAATTCTTAATTTTTTTTTTTTTTTTTTTTTTCAACAAGTCGGCCGTCTCCCACCGAGGCAGGGTGACCCAAAAAAGAAAGAAAATCCCCAAAAAGAAAATACTTTCATCATCATTCAACACTTTCACCACACTCGCACATTATCACTGTTTTTGCAGAGGTGCTCAGAATACAACAGTCTAGAAGCATAAACATATAAAGATACACAACATATCCCTCCAAACTGCCAATATCCCAAACCCCTCCTTTAAAGTGCAGGCATTGTACTTCCCATTTCCAGGACTCAAGTCCGACTATATGAAAATAACCGGTTTCCCTGAATCCCTTCACTAAATATTACCCTGCTCACACTCCAACAGATCGTCAGGTCCCAAGTACCATTCGTCTCCATTCACTCCTATCTAAACACGCTCACGCACGCTTGCTGGAAGTCCAAGCCCTTACCCACAAAACCTCCTTTACCCCTCTCTCCAACCCTTTCGAGGACGACCCCTACCCCCCCTTCCTTCCCTATAGATTTATATGCTTTCCATGTCATTCTACTGTGATCCATTCTCTCTAAATGACCAAACCACCTCAACAACCCCTCTTCTGCCCTCTGACTAATACTTTTATTAACTCCACACCTTCTCCTAATTTCCACACTCCCAATTTTCTGCATAATATTTACACCACACATTGCCCTTAAACAGGACATCTCCGCTGCCTCCAACCCTCTCCTCGCTGCTGCATTTACCACCCAAGCTTCACACCCATATAAGAGTGTTGGTACTACTATACTTTCATACATTCCCTTCTTTGCCTCCATAGATAACGTTTTTTGACTCCACATATACCTCAACGCACCACTCACCTTTTTTCCCTCATCAATTCTATGATTAACCTCATCCTTCATAAATCCATCCGCCGACACGTCAACTCCCAAGTATCTGAAAACATTCACTTCTTCCATACTCCTCCTCCCCAATTTGATATCCAATTTTTCTTTATCTAAATCATTTGACACCCTCATCACCTTACTCTTTTCTATGTTCACTTTCAACTTTCTACCTTTACACACATTCCCAAACTCATCCACTAACCTTTGCAATTTTTCTTTAGAATCTCCCATAAGCACAGTATCATCAGCAAAAAGTAACTGTGTCAATTCCCATTTTGAATTTGATTCCCCATAATTTAATCCCACCCTCTCCCAAACACCCTAGCATTTACTTCCTTTACAACCCCATCTATAAATATATTAAACAACCATGGTGACATTACACATCCCTGTCTAAGACCTACTTTTACCGGGAAGTAGTCTCCCTCTCTTCTACACACCCTAACCTGAGCCTCACTATCCTCATAAAAACTCTTTACAGCATTTAATAACTTACCACCTATTCCATATACTTGCAACATCTGCCACATTGCTCCTCTATCCACTCTATCATATGCCTTTTCTAAATCCATAAATGCAATAAAAACTTCCCTATCTTTATCTAAATACTGTTCACATATATGCTTCAATGTAAACACCTGATCTACACATCCCCTACCCACTCTAAAACCTCCTTGCTCATCCGCAATCCTACATTCTGTCTTACCTCTAATTCTTTCAATTATAACCCTACCGTACACTTTTCCTGGTATACTCAGTAAGCTTATTCCTCTATAATTTTTACAGTCTCTTTTGTCCCCTTTCCTTTATATAAAGGGACTATACATGCTCTCTGCCAATCCCTAGGTACCTTCCCCTCTTTCATACATTTATTAAACAAAAGTACCAACCACTCCAACACTATATCCCCCCTGCTTTTAACATTTCTGTCATGATCCCATCAGTTCCAGCTGCTTTACCCCCTTTCATTTTACGTAATGCCTCACGTACCTCCCCCACACTTACATTCTGCTCTTCTTCACTCCTAAAAGATGGTATACCTCCCTGACCAGTGCATGAAATTACTGCCTCTGTTTCTTCCTTAACATTTAAAAGTTCCTCAAAATATTCTCGCCATCTACCCAATACCTCCATCTCCCCATCTACTAACTCCCCTACTCTGTTTTTAACTGACAAATCCATATTTTCCCTAGGCTTTCTTAACTTGTTTAACTCACTCCAAAATTTTTTCTTATTTTCATTAAAAATTTCTTGACAGTGCCTCTCCCACTCTATCATCTGCTCTCCTTTTGCACTCTCTCACCACTCTCTTTACCTTTCTTTTACTCTCCATATACTCTGCTCTTCTTATAACACTTCTGCTTTGTAAAAACCTCTCATAAGCTACCTTTTTCTCTTTTATCACACCCTTTACTTCATCATTCCACCAATCACTCCTCTTTCCTCCTGCCCCCACCCTCCTATAACCACAAACTTCTGCCCCACATTCTAATACTGCATTTTTAAAACTATTCCAACCCTCTTCAACCCCCCCACTACTCATCTTTGCACTAGCCCACCTTTCTGCCAATAGTCGCTTATATCTCACCCGAACTTCCTCCTCCCTTAGTTTATACACTTTCACTTCCCTCTTACTTGTTGTTGCCACCTTCCTCTTTTCCCATCTACCTCTTACTCTAACTGTAGCTACAACTAAATAATGATCCGATATATCAGTTGCCCCTCTATAAACATGTACATCCTGGAGCCTACCCATCAACCTTTTATCCACCAATACATAATCTAATAAAACTACTTTCATTACGTGCTACATCATACCTTGTATATTTATTTATCCTCTTTTTCATAAAATATGTATTACTTATTACCAAATTTCTTTCTACACATAGCTCAATTAAAGGCTCCCCATTTACATTTACCCTGGCACCCCAAATTTACCTACTACTCCCTCCATAACATTTTTACCCACTTTAGCATTAAAATCCCAACCACCATTACTCTCACACTTGATTCAAAACTCCCCACGCATTCACTCAACATTTCCCAAAATCTCTCTCTCTCCTCTACACTTCTCTCTTCTCCAGGTGCATACACGCTTATTATAACCCACTTTCACATCCAATCTTTATTTTACTCCACATAATCCTTGAATTAATACATTTATAGTCCCTCTTTTCCTGCCATAGCTTATCCTTCAACATTTTGCTACTCCTTCTTTAGCTCTAACTCTATTTGAAACCCCTGACCTAATCCCATTTATTCCTCTCCACTGAAACTCTCCCACCCCCTTCAGCTTTGTTTCACTTAAAGCCAGGACATCCAGCTTCTTCTCATTCATAACATCCACAATCATCTCTTTCTTATCATCTGCACAACATCCACGCACATTCAGACTTCCCACTTTGACAATTTTCTTCTTCTTATTCTTTTTAGTAATCTTTACAGGAAAAGGGGTTACTAGCCCATTGTTCCCGGCATTTTAGTTGACTTTTACAACACGCATGGCTTACGGAGGAAAGATTCTTATTCTTATTCTTATTCTTATTCTTATTCTTATTCTTATTCTTATTCTTATTATATGTATAGTTATTCCCTTACAAATCTTAAGTTAGTCCTAGGTTTGTCTGAAATACTCTCCCAATATAGGAACTTTTATAGTAACAGTTTATCATGCTAAGGTAAAACCATTCCCATTACTAAATTAACTAATTAAAATATTTTGTGATAACTGGTTTTGAAAACCAACAAGTTGAAGATTGAGATATGCAACATATGGGAATCTTTATTAATAAAAATTCCCATATGTTGCATAAGTGTCTCAATCTTCAATTATAGTATTGTTATATGCTTTGTACTACCTCACTATTATCACTCTAATTAATGTTAATCACTTCACTTACCTAACTTTTATATCAGTATGCAATAATGTGTATTAAAATGTACTTCTCCATAGCCTGTGTCAATATAGAGTAAGAATTAGAATTAGTCTGCCCGAAATACCTAGGCATGCTAGTGGCCTTCTTTGTAACTAATATCTTATATTCTAAGCTTTGCAAGGAAGTAAACATTTTCATTGTCATTTTCATTTAAGACTATGTCGGTAAATGAGTTTGTCGCTAAGTGGTAGTGGATTTGTGTCAACCATCTTTGATATTGTTTTAATGTCACCTTTGCACCATTTATAATATTCTGGTACATTTTTAAATGTATACAGCAGTGTACTGTATATTGTAATAAACAGAATAGAAGAAATCAGCTGTAATATACATTATTTGGGTATACAGTGGAACCTCAAAAATCGAACTTTCTTCGGTCCAGAAGGCTGTTCGAGTGCCACTACCGAACGAATTTATTCCCATCAGGAATAATGTAAATTAGATTAGTCCATTTAAGACCCTCAAAAATACTCTTATAAAAGCACTTACAAAAATACACTTACATAATTGGTTGAGTTGGGAGCAGTTCGATTTTTGAGGTTCCACTGTACATACTGGGCAGAGAGCCCGCCGTAAGCCCGAGTCGTCAGTAAAAAAGTGTCGCTAAGTGAGGAGAAGCTGTACTACTTTTCATGTGATAATATCTGAGTATCATTTCTGATTAGATTTAACCCTTCTAAACTGATAACTTGAATTATATTTGGGCTGTGTAATATCCTAATTTATTATTTTTATTGATGAAATTTGAATATTAGTTTCCTTATGGTTTGTAAATGCCTCTTCTGATTCCCTTTATATCTTAAAAGCTAATATTTTACTGCATTATCAACTTATGGGACACTGTTCACAATTTTAATCATGCGAACTGAGTGACAGGACACTGGGGCTAATTTGATTCATGTTAACTGACACACAGGTTACTGTGGTTATGAAATACAGGGATACCTCTGTCAGGTCGTACAGCAATCAGAATACATTTAGTTGATGTTTATAATCTGGAGGGTACAGTGTATATTGGTGTGGTGCTCTGGAAACTTGCTTAAACCTGATGAGAAATGGTATAATGTTATTCTGTGTTTTAGTCTCACCTACATGCCTTCTACTGATGCTTTGTTACCTTGTGTTTCAGTATCACCTACATCAATACACTGTTACCTTGAGATTCTGTATCACTCGCATCAATACAATGTTACCTTGTGTTTCAGCATCACCTACATCGGTACAGTGTTGCCTTATGTTTCAGTATCATCTACATCAGTACCATGTTACCTTGTGCTTCAGTATCACCTACATCAATGCAGTATTGGTGTATGTTTCAGTTTCACCATACATCAAGACAATGTCTATGGTAGCAGCCAACAAGCTGCTCCACTTGCTGGAGGCCTTCTCCACCCCATGGTTCCTCTTCTCTGCTCCGCATCACCACCACCTCGTGTTCTTCCTCCTGGAAACATTCAACAACATCATACAGTATCAGTTCGATGGTAAGTAAGTGCTAGATAATGATACAAGAATGGCAATATTAACCCGTAAACGGTCCAAACATATATATACGTTTTTTCAACATTTGAAAGTATGTAAAAAAGTAGATCTTCTTTTTGTTTTTTTACATTTGAAAATGTGTAAAAGAACTTTGATCTACTTTTTTTTTTTTTTGTTATATTTGAAAATATGTAAAAAAAAACATAGATCTACTTTTGTAGCACTACACACGTGAACGTAGATCTGCTTGGACCGTTTACGGGTTAAAGAATAAAAAGGCACAATACAGTGTCTAGAAAAATACACAAATAATCCACACAAAGGAGAAAGAAACTTACATGTGGGTTGACTTGACTCAAGAAATCGTAATGACACGATAGCATAGGTGCCTGTGCTAACCTTCCAATGGTGTAGAAATATACCTAGTTGGATGAATCTTATTGTGGCTAGCTGGTCTAGTGGCTAACGCGACGGGCTGGAGTTTTGAGACTCTATGACCGCGGGTTCAATCCCGGCCGGGGGTATGGTTTACATGTGGGTTATTTGTGCATGACAGTATTATTTTAACCTAGGTAGTAGGTTGGTAGACAGCATCCGCCCAGGGAGGTACTACCGTCCTGTAATTGTTGTACATGATGGTAGGATTGCTGGTGTCTTCTTTCTGTCTCATAAACATGCAAGATTAAAGGTACATCTTGCTACTTCTACTTAGGTCACATTACGCATGCATGTACAAGCATATATAGACACAACCCTTTATGTTTTCTTCCATTTTCTTACTAGCTCTTGTTCTTGTTTATTTCATCTTATCTCCATGGGGAAGTGGAATAGAATTCTTCCACCTTAAGCCATGCGTGTTGTAAGAGGCAACTAAAATGCTGGGAGCAAGGGGCTAGTAACCCCTTTTCCTGTATACACTACTAAATTTATAAAGAGAAATTTTTGCTTTTCTTTTTGGGCCACCCTGCCTCAGTGGGATAAGGCCAGTGTGTTGAAAGAAAGAAGAAGAAAAAGAAGTATTATTTTAAATTCTCTAAGTGATTTAGAAATTGGTACAATTAAATTTCCTGTGTATGTATTAGGGGGAAGGGGAGGGGCAAGATTTTGAAGTAAAAATTCTTACAGACTAGAAGAGTGTATTTCTTATGAATTGAATAAGACTTAAAATGAGCAGAATCTAATTGTAACTTATAATTTTATGGTGTGTTGAAGTTGGCCAAAAAATTATCACTTGGAAACCGGCATTGATTCATTACCAACTCCTTCACTAGACAGCACACTCCACTGCTTTTTAAGAGCCTTAACTTGCCTAATATACAAAACATCCACACTTATTATTGTGCCTACTACATACACAGAGCATTATACTCAAATATTAGCCCTCCTCTCAAACTCCTCCTTGATAACTACAACAGAACACACAGGCATAACACAAGGCACAAATCACTCTTCAATATCCCTCGTGTCCATCTTTCCCTATGCAAAAATGTTATGCACATAAAGGGCACAAAGATCTAGAATTCATTGCCAGAATACACTAAAAGGCCCCTGTCTGCAAATCAATTTAAGGTCCTACTTAGAAATCACCTCATCGCCCAAAATTAACCAGACACACATATACCTAACACCTACCAATTACTCAAAAAACTCCTAAATAATTTATGACTGCTCAACTATTAGATCATTTACTTCAAACTTAAAATTGTTTCAGTTTCATTATTGTATATTGTGCTTGATGATTGCTCAACTATTTAATCATTACTTCATACTTATAATTGTTTCAACTTCATTGTTTTAAATTGTGCTAAATTGTAATACTGTATTTTTTATATACTATGTCACAACTGTAATTCTGCTCTACCAAACTTATTAAAGCCATATAGTGTGCACTAGTTGAATATTCAATTTTCTTGTATTCACTGTAACTCACCTAATGACCATATGTACAATTACAGCACTGTTATTGCCTTATTAATCTTAACGCGGGACCCCCAAATTTCAGCCAACTTTTTTATTTTTCAATCGATTTCTTTTATTTTTGTTGTACTTTTAGAGGTGCATATGTAGAAGAATGTGACAAAGTTTCAGTATGATTGGCCAACAAACAACAGAGAAAAAAATATTTACTGACTTTTGATATATGGCAGCATTTCTGACAAATTGGCAATATGAGTGGCACTTCCGGCAATCCCAACTGTTAGAATACATCTTACATGACTTTTAAACACTGCCATTTCATCTAATATATCTGTAAAAAAAATACGTTTGATAGACTTTTTGGCATTCACCAAAATATCAGCCTTTTACCCCCCACAAAATAAAAAACATTTTAGATATTCCAAAAAAATGTCCCATGAATATTCAAACACACTTTGTTTTATATTGTCTGTGAAAATAATTTCAATACAATCATTAATAATGGCGAAGTAAAGCGAAATAAGTGAATAAGTTACTTCCGAGATATTGGCCTGGAACGCCGGCCGGCCCGCCGTCTCGAAAAAAAAAATTTCTTGTGAAAATCGTGTTTGTTTGGGTGTTTTCCTTAGTAAACTGGTGTTCTAGTGCAGTTATCCTCTTCAAAACACCGTTTTCTCTTACTCAAAGACCAAATAGTACGACATGGAGACAAGGGGTAACAATTTTATATAGAAAATTGCTGGTGGACTCTCGCCATATTATGGCCTATTTTATTAAGTCTAGAGTATATAACGTGTTTGTATGTTATTTATAGTGTTTATTATATCATATTAGATCAATTCTGATTGATAAATAAGCCATAGAGTTGATATAAGCGTAATAATGAAGTAATTTCACCTGGCTATCTCTGGAGCGGGAATACTGCCGGTTTTCCCAGGTGCTTCCTGATTGGCTGGAAGTCTACTGATAAGCTCCATCTACTCTTATATGATGCCAAATAGTCAATTATTATATTAGAAAGAATAATGCAAGAACAAGTGATAAAAAACAAGGAAAAAATTCCAAAAAAATATATGGGCTGACAGCAGACGTGCTGCCCACACCGCCGTCACCATACCTGATATAAATGAGTATAATTTCTTGTAGAAACGTCTTAGAACATTGATTCTTGTACCATTGTGTTGCCAAAGAGTTAAGCTATTTTTCTATATGAATAACTCAATTTCCATAATTTTTCGATATTTTTTTCCAAAGCGCACAAAATTGCCAAAATATTCTGCATATAAAAGTTTTTGGCATGTTCACCAAATTGTTACACTCCTTTGCACAAACATGTATCGGGATAAAATTGTCATTTTTTTTTTAACACACCCATTTCCCACCAAGGCAGGGTGACCCAGAAAGAAAGAAAGAAAAAACTTTCATCATCATTAAACACTTTCACCATCACTCATACATAATCACTGTCTTTGCAGAAGCACTCAGATACAATAGCTTAGACATCCCTCCAAACTGCCAGTATCCCAAATCCCTCCTTAAAAGTGTAGGCATTGTACTTCCCATTTCCAGGACTCAGGTCTGGCTAATCAGTTTCCCTGAAACCCTTCACAAAATGTTACCCTGCTCACACTTCATCAGCTCGTCAGGTCCCAAAAACCATTTGTCTCCATTCACTCTTATTTATCATTTATTCATCAACCGCCCCAGGGAGGTACTACCGTCCTGCCAAGTGAGTGTAAAACGAAAGCCTGTAATTGTTTTACATGATGGTGGGATTGCTGGTGTCCATTTATCTGTCTCATAAACATGCAAGGTTTCAGGTACATCTTGCTACTTCTACTTACACTTAGGTCACACTACACATACATGTACAAGCATATACACCTACCATCCGACTTACGACCTGCTCGACTTACGACCACTCGACTTACGACCGTGTTTTTTATGCCAAATTTCTGGGAAATAAACAACTATTTGTGTTGTACACAGTGTTTATCTGAAACCTTTCAGTATAAAATACAGTACTATTTTTTATTATTATTATCACACTGGCCGATTCCCACCAAGGCAGGGTGGCCCGAAAAAGAAAAACTTTCACCATCATTCACTCCATCACTGTCTTGCCAGAAGGGTGCTTTACACTACAGTTTTTAAACTGCAACATTAACACCCCTCCTTCAGAGTGCAGGCACTGTACTTCCCATCTCCAGGACTCAAGTCCGGCCTGCCGGTTTCCCTGAATCCCTTCATAAATGTTACTTTGCTCACACTCCAACAGCACGTCAAGTATTAAAAACCATTTGTCTCCATTCACTCCTATCAAACACGCTCACGCATGCCTGCTGGAAGTCCAAGCCCCTCGCACACAAAACCTCCTTTACCCCCTCCCTCCAACCCTTCCTAGGCCGACCCCTACCCCGCCTTCCTTCCACTACAGACTGATACACTCTTGAAGTCATTCTGTTTCGCTCCATTCTCTCTACATGTCCGAACCACCTCAACAACCCTTCCTCAGCCCTCTGGACAACAGTTTTGGTAATCCCGCACCTCCTCCTAACTTCCAAACTACGAATTCTCTGCATTATATTCACACCACACATTGCCCTCAGACATGACATCTCCACTGCCTCCAGCCTTCTCCTCGCTGCAACATTCATCACCCACGCTTCACACCCATATAAGAGTACTAACAGCATAAAAAGTAAAGTAAAACATGAAATACCAAAATAAAACAATAAAATAAAGTCATTACAAAAATGTTTTGTTGATATTCAGTAGTAAAGTTCGACTTACGACCATTTTGACTTACGACCTGTTTCTCGGAACCGAACTCGGTCGTAAGTCGGATGGTAGGTGTATATACACATGCCCCTCTGGGTTTTCTTCTATTTTCGTACTAGTTCTTGTTCTTGTTTATTTCCTCTTACCTCCATGGGGAAGTGGAACAGAATTCTTCCTCCGTAAGCCATGCGTGTTGTAAGAGGTGACTAAAATGCCGGGAGCAAGGGGATAGTAACCCCTTCTCCTGTATATATTACTAAATGTAAAAGGAGAAACTTTCATTTTTTCTTTTGGGCCACCCCGCCTCGGTGG